AAAAATGCTGTGTTCCGGGTGCGGGCGATCACACTGCGGGCGCGGAGGCGTGGCTGCGGTGCCATTCAATGCACCGCCACGCCCCCTCCCACCCCTGAACGCAGGGAGCCAGCTTGCGTTCCAGAGGCCTCAGAAACAAAGTCATCTCCAGCTCACGATGACTCGGGGCCTCTCGGGGGTCAGACGCTTTCCGGAGCATTATGCGAAATGCATTAAATAGATCTGGAATATAAATTAGCAGCCGGTGCCGATCTCACCTACAGAGGATGCTTAAGTGACCTTGAAACAAATGAGACCCTCAGACTGCAGGAGACGGAGAACCAATTATAGAAAAACAACAACTGGACAAGTGCGCCATCTAGTGGACAGACAACGACAAGGCGCCTCCTTCCTGGACTATCAGTACAATCATTTTCCTGGAGAGATTTTTAGGCAGCTTTAATGAACCTTTCCCATGTTCCATGTCCCCTAAATACCTGAATCTGCTCTGGCCTGCTTCATATTATTCTGTGCGAACAATTTCTAAGCCTTTCTTCTGGGCCTGGCTTGCTAAATGTGCTCATCTCAGCAGTTATTGAAGTATACCTATAGGCAAAATAAAGAATGACACATGATGCAGGCCGTCAGTCGCATTACATGCAGCAGTGTTTGTTTTTTAGGACAAACTCACCTTAGTGGAGTAGTACTTTAAGTACCGAACCACCACCCTCTAAGTGCAGCCCACCTGGTAAAATACTTACTAGGGATGCACCGATACCGATATTAGCATCAGTGCCGATACCGAGTGTTTGGGAGAGTACTTGTGCTCACCCAAATGCTCCGATAACGGAACTTCAGAGGCAGATTTCTTCTGACTGGCAGTGCCGTCTTCACCGGCAATCAGGAAGCCGGCTGGTGAAAATGACCCGCCTCCCTGCTTGGCCAGGCAGCCAGCTCGGTGCCGATTACCTGTGGAAGCCGGCTTCCCGGCCAATCAGCATCGAGCCGGCCCAATAGCCAATCAGGAAGCTGGGAGGCGGGTCATTACTCACCGCCAGACTTCCTGGTCGGTCCGGGAAGCCGGCTCCATGCCAGAGGAAGCACCAGTATCGGTACTCGGTATCGGCAAGTACCGAAAGCAAAATATCAGTACTCGATGCCGAAAAACCGGTATCAGTGCATCCCTAATACTTCCTCTTCTCCCCATTCCAGCGCTTCTACTGGGGGGGCCCCATGCCCTGTGCCACACAGCCTGTGCAAGGACAGCGTTCCACCAGCATCTCTTTCTATTGCAATGCGGCCCCATTCATTCCTATGGGCTAGCTGTACTTCAATGGAAAGCTGAAGGCCACAATGCGTACGGCTCGTCCATAGAGAATGAATAGGGCCGCGGCCTGTGCAGTAGGACGGGGAGCCGGTTGGTGTAGCACAGGTAAGATTGCCTCAGCGGGCAGGCAGGTATAACAATGGCAGTGATATCATCTCCACGTACATTGCAGTATCATATTTTTCTCGGAGGGACACACCGGAGACACGGCACTATAAGCAACTATTTATTGGAAGGGCGTAATAAAATATTCACTTTTTATTTGTGTACAGAAATGTAAAATACAATGAGCTCGGCACCTTTGCCGCTGAAGGATTTCGATAATAAAATAAACTCATATATGCAAATAAAAGAGTTACCTGAGCAAAAAAGACCGACAATGATTCTTTACACCTCAAATATGTTCACGTTTGTTTGCAAAGGGAAAAAAAAAAAGAAATAAACCTTCTGACAATAGAGGCGAAGGCAATTTGGCGGCACAGCTGTCACTTCAAGGCCCGCCCGCCGCTGTGTGCTTCACATTCAGCACGTTCTCAGTGTGGTGGAAAGGCGACCTGCCAGGGGTCACATGCACCAAATCTGCTGACGCGGCTGTTTTGCAGCGTGTTGATGGCTCAGGACGCAGGCTTTAATATTAATGGGACCACATTGGAGCCCATGCTGTGTGCTGGGTGTCTCACTATAGTCCTGACTGCAGCCAACACAAGGTTGTATGGTGTAAGCAAGCAGGGCTAAGGAATGGGGAGGGAGGGGGAGGAACCAGAAGTGTCCATTACACCTCCTAGTGTAAGTTGAGAGCACAAAGGATTGGGGTCATGGGGGTCCATTTCACATCTATAGTGTAAGCTTGGAGAGGCCAAGAGGGTGACATCAGTGGGCTCTGGTTTACATCTGTGGTGTAGTCAGGTGGCCCCCTATTCCCTTATATGATGTAAGCAGAGCTCAGGGGAGGAATCAAGCGGTTTCTCATTACCTCAATGGTGTAAGCAAAGCTCATGGGAGGAGTCAAGCAGCCCCTCAATACCTCAATGGTGTAAGCAGACCTCAGGGGAGGAATCAAGCGGCTCCTCATTACCTGTATGGTGTAAGGAGAGCTCAGAGGAGGAGTCAAGCGGCTCCTCATTACCTCTATGGTGTAAGCAGAGCTCAGAGGAGGAGGAGTCAAGCGGCTCCTCATTACCTCAATGGTGTAAGCAGAGCTCAGGGGAGGAGTCAAGCGGCTCCTCATTACCTCTATGGTGTAAGCAGAGCTTAGGGGAGGAGTCAGGGGGCTCATATCCACCTATAGGACATAATCTTAAGCTATGAGTGCACAAAGAGGAAGGGTCCAGGGGCTCCTATTCACCTCTAGGTTGTAAGCAGAGCTCAGGGGAGGAGTCAGGGGACACCTATTTATCTGTAGGATATAAGGTCAGGTCAGGTTTTAAATTAGCTTGTGTGGCCCCTTTGCTGCGGTGCTGCTGTCAGTTCACACAATGGTGTTCTAACACTTTAGCCCAAAACTGAAACTTGTCCTGCACCCGCCGGCACGCATCACATGATGGCCGTCAGACTCTGTGTCACACTGTATATCTGGTGCATGGAGCCCTTGCAGGTCAGTACCAGTGCAATTCTACTCCCCACCACCAGAGGGCCTGAAATCAAGCTAGCAGCAAAGGAAAAATTACCCGAACAGAGAATGAACATAGCGGATACCATTCAGACTTAAATTTTCCCCGAGGTCCCCGTCTTAAATAGAATTTCTCTCTATCCTGTAATACATTCTATACATATATTAAATTCTACAGCAAGAACAGTAGCAATAATGACCCGCAGCACAGGCCAATCCATTCATACGCATTGTGCAGTTTAGGACCGAA